TCCACTGAATATACACACACACCACACACACACACACACACACACACTCACACACTCTCTCTCTCTCTCTCTCTCTCTCTCTCTCTTGACTAGGTAAAGGTCCTGCACCAGCTGTGGAATCTGCTTAGAGGTGGAGGCAAAAGTCAAAGGGATTTGCTTTCACTTGGAAATTAGAGGTGTGGTTTCAGGTGGTTGGTGACCAGTTCACATCGCTCTGGTTCACTCTACCCTGATGCCTGGAGTTGCCTTCAGTTTCCTTAGGTGAAAATGGGTCATAGGAAGATGCTGAAGCTGCGGTTAGAGGAAGTACCAAGGTGCTTGGCTGCCTCTTTTTAGAACTGCAGGTCTTTTAGGGACTGCCCATTGCATCAAGGTTGAGCAGAATGTTACACACATATGTGATTTCTTTTACTTTTTCTTCACAGATTCTTAAATTGTATTTGCCTTCTTGTCTCCCTCACTCTCTCTGGTACAGAGGTCGTAGGTTTCATTTGATTACATTTTCGTTCTCTGTTAAACTAGGCTGGGTCACCTTGCTCCTCACAGCTATTTAGAATTTGCTCATTTGTTTTTTTCTTTTTAACATGTCCACTGTTAAAAGTTAATGCTTTCTCCTTTTATTTTCACAGACTGAATGTCAGAGGACATAACATTAATAGAAGTCTGTCTCCTATATTACCTTACAGGAATAGACAATTCAGATCCCTTTAGGAATCATAATCTTCAGTAGAAAGAAATCTATAATAGATTGACAACTTTTTAAACATCTTTTCCCAATAGCCTTGTAGCTTTCAATTTGGACTGTTTCATTTAATTGAAGAGACATTATTAGCATCTTTGCCATGCACGAAAGTAGATTATATTTGAAGCATATGAAATGCTTCTAGCTCCTTAGCAGAAAATACATTGAACCCATATTGTTATGTATTGTTGAGCTTGTTTTTAACACCTTACTTAAGATCTTAGCTATAAAATAATTTTACCTATGAAAGAAACAAACAGCTACTACTCGTACTTCCAGTGAATCTCCTGGATGCTTCTAGAAAGACTGGCCTTATGCCTGTTTCTTACTGAGTCATGTTTCTATATATAATATTTTATCCAAACAAGTAACTGACAATACAAAATCCTTTTACTTAAACAAGGTTAGGACTATAAAATATTTCAGTTCATATTTTAATTTCAATAATTTATTGTTCATAGTTTTCATTAATAATGCAAAATGGGATATTTTGTTTTCTAAACTTATCATTATTTACTAAGACAGTATGTTAGAAGAATAATCTTTTCCCTAAGCATAACAAAACAAATGTTTAAGGTGGATTTGACTGAGCATTTAAAATTTTTAAAGATGAGCTTGCTTCTGGGTCTTCTTGGAGAAAATCCTTGGAAACAATCTTAAAAAGATTTTGGTTTGTATTTTCTTTGGACAGAACATTTTGTTCTTTATTCTAATTGCAAATTCCTCTGGCCCCGGTTGTAGTACATATTTTCCTCTTTCCTTAGTCCACACTTCCACTCTGCTTTCCGTTTCTTTTTAATGTTTAGAAGGGATAATTTTTGCCTCAATTTCTGAAAAGAAAAAGGTGATTGCCACTAACCTATGTAAGTGTAGGTAACATGAAATATTTGGTAACCAAATTAAATCTGGCTGAATTGAGGTGCATAACCACTCAGTAAGGATGCCACTCTCTGACTTACTGATGTTAGTTTCTCTTGGATTAATTAACATGTTGTAATATAGTCTAGGCATACTAAAGTCACTGTTTGAAATAGGTCACACCAAGTAGCAGAATATGCAAGTGTCCACCCTTATAAACCAGGGATGGCAAACTCAGGTACCTCCTGGAACTAGATTGGTTAAAAATGAGTTAAGGAGAACAGGTAGCAAGACTGTTCCTTGTCACCATGAAGCATCAGCAGATTGTTGACCTGTGAAAATAAAGGCAGGGGGTTGCCAGATTTTCTTTTCTTTTCAAGATATAGCAGATGACCCATTTTAATGTAACTGTATCAATTTTTTTTATTAGGCAGCTAATCAAAGATTTTACAAACACTGCAATCTGCGTTTTGTACATACGCTGTCAGTTTGTGACCTCTTGAAACGCCATCAATTTGAAAGATAAATTTAGTCTTATATTAAAAACAAAGTGCACAGTATTCTTAATTCTGTGGTCAGTGGCCAATGGTCCATTTCCTTTGGGAAAAAGTTTATTTTTGAGTCCCATGATCCTCACTCTAAGCAAAAGACTGAAAGGCTATTTGGGTTGATAGTTTACCCAACAGCATATTGAAAAATGTTCAGTTGGAAGTCACTTCCTCATATTGTCTGGTAAAATCTGCAGTCTTCCTGTGGACTAAATCTATAGTTTTAAAAATCATGGATCATGATAAGGCCCATTGGCCTTACAAGAACCGCTCCCCACCTGCCACTCACATACACAAATTCCAATGACTTTAAAATTACCCAGTTACATTATTAGTATGTCTCTATCTTTGCAACACTGTATTCTTTCCCTTCTCTTTAAAATGTACCACAATTAAATACACACAAAATAATCTTTCATATATTTAAAACACTTGAGCCACCCTTCAACTTTTACTTCTCTAGATTACATAATTTAGACTACTTTAATATGTACATATATCCTGTTTTATATTTTATATATTTTTAAATGTGTTCTGTACTTATGACTAGACTGGACTGGTATTGTTAACAATAGTACTAAACCCAA